TATAAAATATAGAGAATCAATAGCTGAGAATGGTCAGAAAAATGTGTAGAAAACAGAAACAACAAATGTCAGCTATGAAAGTGAATTTATAATGAGATATTCTGCACACATTGGAAACTTACAAAGACATGTTATTAGCAAATTTATACCAACATATTTAGTAATTTATGTGAAATGGACAAATTCCTATTTAAAAAAATGGATAAACATGAAGAGAAAACATGGTACATGTGGCAGAAGCCGGGAAAAGCATTTGTAACGCCTGCCTGTCCCTCACCAATTACAAGACCAAGATGACTCTCTTCCGATGTCCTGATGGATATACACATGTTCCAGAAGGGCAATCGAGAAGATTATTCATGACTTCTACTCAGATCTCTTTAATAGCCATGTCCACTTGCCACATACAAAATTCCACAGGATGGATATTTTGTTCCCAACATTCTTCCTTTCGAAATCCAACACTCCATCTCGTCAGTAAAGAAACAAAGAGCACCTGGCTCAGTTCAAGATGCCATTCTGTCAGACCTGAACACCTGAAAAACCTACCATTAGTACTCATCAATACACTGGCTCAGCTATTCACACGCTACCTGTCTGAATGCAAGGTTTAATCCCAATGGAAAACCAACAGGACTGTACTACTATACAAGAAGGGAGACATCCACGACATTGGCAACTATTGCCCGATCTGCCTACTGTCTGTCATTTACAAGCTGTTCACTTGAGTCATCCTGAATAGTATTGGCAGAACACTAGATGAAGGACAACCATGCGAGCAAGCCGGGTTCCGCAAAGGATTCAGCACCATCGACCTTATCCACAAGATAACCAAGCTCATTGAAGTTTCTGGGGAGTTCAAGATGCCACTCTGTCTAACATTCATTGATTTAAAGAAGGCCTTTGATTCTGTTGAGATGGAAGCAGTCATCAAAGCCCTAGCCAATCAGGGCATTCAAATTCAGTACATCAGGATCCTCCGTGAGCTGTATTACAGATTCACTACCAGGATCTCACCATTCTACAAAGAAGTGATCATCGATGTCAAGAGAGGGGTTCAGCAAGGTGATACCATTTCACCGAAACTCTTTGGTGCCACCCTTGAGAACATCATGCGATGACTGGAATGGGAAGGAATGGGAGTGAAGATAGATGGTTGGCAAATACACCACCTCCGCTTTGCTGATGACATCGTTCTAATAACACAAAACATCAGCCAGAGGCACAAATGCTGACCGACTTCGACCGTGAGTGTGGAAAGGTCAAATTACAACTGAATCTTACAAAGACAATGTTCATGAGAAACAGTCTTGTCCCTGATGTTCCTTTCACTCTCAACAGAATGACCATCTCCTTATGCAACAGTTATGTGTACCTAGGTCGAGAAGTCAACCTGACAAATGACCTGGCACCTGAGTTGTGCAGGAGTAAGAGAGTGGCTTGGAAAGCCTTCAAGAGCGTTGAAGAAATAGCTAATAGGACGAAGAACCTACAGCTCCAAGCACATCTCTTTGATTCCACTGTTCTTCCTGCATTAACATACACTTCAGAGACTTGGGCCCTATGAAAACAGGATGAGAATGGGTCTCTCAAAGAGGAATAAAAAGAGCTCTGCTTGTAGTATCACAGTTCACTCAAATGAGAGAAAAAATCTAGAGTTCTGATCTGTCAACGCTCAAGAATCAAGGACGCTATCTCGTTTGCCAAGGCCTGCTGGACTAGAGCCATTACTGACTGGATTCCACGGGACATCAAAAGATCGCGTGGATGCCCACCTACGAGATGGTCAGACTTCTTCGTGAAGACCCTGAACGGTCGGTTTGAGCCTCTTCATGTTCCTAGAATGAATAGATGACATTGGGCTATGCTAGCACACAACAGGGATGAATGGAGATGTTACTGGCGCCCGCTTGAGTAAATTAATGTGTAACGGGATATTAAGTGATCCAGTGAAGAGAGAACCCTTGATCATACACATTCAGATATTGAAATTTTGCCAATAAAGAAGCTTTATGAACAGATAGATTGATGAATACAATTAAATAATGGAAGAAATATCAAATTAATAATATACTATTTGTCAAGAAAATATTTCACATAGATCACAAGTAATATTTTAAAATATTTTAATTAAATCACTGTGAGATACAGTTGTTACGCCCGTGACTCAGTTTTTCAAATACCACCAAGAAACCAACTCTGATGCAAATGCACGAGGATCTTTGTTGCAAGCTCGAGCTTCGTCTCCCAGTCAACATTGATGCAGCAGGTGGAAGCTGAGAGACCTTAGCTCTTAGGGAACAAGGTTTATATAAGGTTTACAGCAAGAAGCCCAGGCACTTAAACAGTGTTATTACAGGATAGATTGATCTTTACAATTTGAAGCATGCAGCGCTACATGATAGGCTACATTCAACCTTACTCTTACTAGCTTGTGCATGTAATCTTGCGAGACCACATGTGCAATGAGCTCCTGGCAAGGAGCTCCTGATTAGCTGTGGCTTGGGAGGATTAGGTTTTAGGCACCCCGTGGTGTCTCTAGATACTTCTGGGTGAAAAAAGGCTTTTTGTTCCCAGAATGGGCTGTTGAAGTTCCATTATTAGGTCTTATTAAGTTAGGTCTATGCTGCCTTTTCACTAGCGAAGACTGTCACAGCATAGCTTTAGTTCCTCACAGTTATAAAGCTTTCATGATTGAGTTTCAGTCATACAATGATTGAACACCCATCGATTCACCCGTGCTCATTTTCCACCACCAATATCCCCAGTATCCCTGCTGCCAACCCCACCCTACCCCACTCCCTGCGTCTGTGACAGGCACCTTCCATCTTTCTCTCTCTCTAATTTTTGGCATTATGATTTGCAATATAGATACTGAGAGACCATCATGTTTGGTCCTGAGTCTACTTTCAGCACACATCTCCCATGCTGACCTATTTCTCCAACAATCATTGTCTTCACAAGTCATTCTGTGCATCTCTGAAGTAACTATGGTTCCTCTTTCTACTATTCTGTGTTATCTTCAGTATTTTTAGAGCACTTTAAACATTTCCATTCAAACTTATATAAAGGTAATTATGCACCTATCCACAAAAATATTAGCAATTGATTTATTGGCTTATAATTGATTTACAGTGTTAGGGAATTTCACACGTTTGCCTCACACCCTATCTTACATGTATAAAACTGCAGCCACCATGAAAGTTCCAGAGTCATTTTAGAGTCCCACTACCAAAACAATGGCTCTACTCACATTTTATAAACCCAAATTTCTGTTTCCCTTTTATATCCACTATATTTCCCCCCAATTCTAGGTGGATTAATTTAGTGATGCATATTCTACTTATGAGTGAAATTATCAGATAGTTATCTTTCTCTTCCTTACTTATGGCATATGGCATCATCAGCAAAATTCATTCATTTTGTCCTAAAAGCATGATATAAATTTTTTAGTGGCAGAGTAATCATTTATTGAGTATATCACCTTGTATGTATATATTTATTTTCATATATATCAGTGTTTTTATTTACTCTTCTGTTGATCGCATAAAGATTGATTCTTTGCTTAATTCTGCTATGAATAATGGTGATGCAACACAGAAGTGTAAATGAATTTTTTGAATTGGTGGTATTATATTCTATTTTTTTATTGTAGATCACCATCACAATCATGATCATCCTGTTGTTCGTCGATTGCCTCAAGCAGGCCCCAGTAACGTTTCCTTCATCCTAGCCCTGAGATTTTAAAAAGTGCCATATTCAAGGCTCTTGCAGGGTTAGTAGAATGATACCCATCATTGTTACTGGTATTTGGCATATTGGGGAGCTTGCCAGACTCTGCCGTGTGGGCAGGTTATATTCCGTAGCCTGCCAGGTTGTCCAAAGTAAGAATGAGATAAATAAGATGTCGTGCGGCCACAAATGCGGTCGTGCGCTTCTGGGAGCTGGGTTTTATAGTCTCTGGGTCTTGACCGTTGATGGAATTACATGGCACTGGGGGGCAGTTGGTGGGTGTTACCCCTGCCTACTGGACGATGGAGGATCTAGGTGGAGGATGCTCAGCCCCGATCGAAGCAGGCTTGGAGATCTCAACCCTGGGACCCACATTGTAAACTTAATTAAATTTAATAAACTTTAATTTAATAAACTTTAATTAATTAATTAATTAATAGTGAAACACCATGAAGTACAGTTGTAGACTTACAAACTTTCGTTCTTGGGTTTCAGTTATACAATGATCGAGTACCCATCCCTTCACCAGTGCCCATTCTCCACCACCAATGAACATTAGCCCTCCCACCCCTTCACTGCATCACTCCCACCCAGCTCGACCTCTGTGGCAGGGTATTCCCTTTTGCTCTCTCTTCTTTTAGGGTGTTGTGGTTTGCAATACACATGTATTGTTTTAATCAGATACTTTTCATTCCCTTGTAAAGTTTCATAATATACCAAAAAAGAAATCATTCATTATTTTTCTTTCTTCCTCTGAGTTATTTTCCTTCATATGTTGCCCTCGAGCTCCATTCACATCAGAAAGAGGCAAGATCACATCTTTCCTATAGCTGTGTAATATTCCATTCTGTATATATACCACAACTTTTTAAAATTTTAATTATAACTTTAACGTATGTTTTTCCTTTACTGAAGATAAAGAGCAGTTCCAATTACATGTAAGTTGGAATCCACACAGTAGTGGTTGGAAGGCAGGGAAAACAGCTAATTAGAACTCTCTTTGTGATAAATTTTCCTTCAAATAGCTCTCAATTTCTGAAAAAAATAATTTTCTTCTCTTTCCACTTAGTAGTCATATTTTTAAATTCATAAGTCTCATAACCAGAACAATGGTGGACTAAGTTTTCTCCTGAATCACAATAACAGCTTTTTTACCCATCTGTTATTAGCATTTGGATTATTTACTAGTCTTGAATATTATACTTAGTGCTGCAATAAATTGACCCTTAGTAGCCAAAAATTAAGCCAGAAAACACAGAATTGCCTTTTGATCTTTATTTTTGTTCCAAATTTTATTATTCTCTTGCTTATATTTGTTTTTTGAAAAAAGAAAATTAAAATTAATCCATAACTTGTTAGTATTATTGGGATACAGCAAAAGTGTTACTCCTGGAGAAATTTATAGAAAAAACTCAGTCTATTTCAGAAGAATCACAACTAAAATACCTTATTCAATTCCTAAAGAAACTAGAAAAAGAAAAACTAAAGCAAAAGTCAGATGCCAGAGAATAATCATGTTGCCATCTGTATTTTTACTCTGCTTTTATTGCTTAATAAAAAAATTATCTTTTTGTCTTTCATGTCACACATTTGTGTCTTCTCTGTTACAAATATCTTTATACTCTCCTATACCAAAAAGTTTATAGTTAAACTTCATGTTTCATCTTGATCCATATGAAACTTATTTTATTTACATAGTTAAGAGAGTCCAAGAGTTGGTTTTGGGGCCACATTTGAGCAGTGCTTGGCAACTTTTATCTATTCTGAGATTAGGGACTGCTCTCAGAAGTGCTCAAAATATTCTTAATCAAATGCTGACTACCAGCATGCAAAATATACCCTCAGCTCTTAGAGCTATCTTTACAATCTCTATATTATTATTTCCACACTTTACTTAATCTTTAACCCCACGCTGAGGAAGCTGATATCATTTCTAGAAGCAATTTGCATGCTGACCTACTAATAGTCAATGTCATTTTCCTTTTTTTATCACTAGTATCAGTATCATACAAGTATTAGTAGTAATTTCTTCTTTTTTGTTGTTATTCTCATTTGTTTGTTTTGGGACACGCGCCATAGTGTTTGGGAATTACTCCTGGTTTTGTGCTCAGTGGTCAGTCACTCATGGCAAGCATATGTGGTGCCATTTAACCCCAAATGGCTATATGCAAGACAAGTTCCCTACTTATTGTACTTCACCCTGGCCCTACTTTGCTATTTAATGAAGTTTTAACCTCATTACAGTTATAAATTATTTAAACCTTTTATATAAAATTTAAGGGCTGTCGTGATAGCACCGCTGGTAGGGCATTTGCCTTGCATGCGGCCAATCTGCGTTCAATTTCTCCATCACTCTCAGGGAGCGTGGCAAGCTACCAAGAGTATCCTGCCCTCACAGCAGAGCCTGGCAAGCTACCTGTGGCATTTTCGATATGCCAACAACAGTAACAAACAAGTCTCACAATGGAGACGTTACTGGTGCCCACTTGAGCAAATTGATGAACAACTCAATTTGTAGGACAGTGCTACAGACAGTGCTACAGTGCTACATAAAATTTAAAAGGTGAAATATATAGTGAAAAGCATAGAATATTTCACCTTGATGTCTCTGTTCTCTCCAGCATAAACCATGATATTAGGTTCTAATGAATCTTTCTAGAAATACTCCATATTTTCATAGATATTCTTATACATTTTAACACTGAACACATTATGCAAAAAATATTATGCCTCATTTTTATTATACTACTTTTTATATTGTTATGTATTCAAATATATTATTTGCTGGCATTATAGTGTGCCAATATGTGTACATGTCCAATTTACCAGTTCATATAAATAGACATTGAAATGTTTTTCATTTTTAGTCATTAACAATAATACCACATGGACTTCTTGTTTAAATATGTGTATGATGTATTGATATACATATGATTTTTCACATACGCATTTCCTAAAGTAAACATTTATATCAAATTGAACATTTATTTGATCTAATAAGTAATGGGCATTAGTATAATCTAGTACATATTTATTACGCTTAAAACTTTGCTGAATGAAAGTAAATAGCATATATATCAAGGGAGGTTAGAGTGATTACTGTATGCTGCAATTTTCTTTAAAGGATAACTAATTTTATTTGAACAGTGACTTGATCTCTTTTATGAGTTGTACTACAATTTCTGGATTAGAAGCTAATACTGAAGTGAAGGTTTTAGTAGCAGTCTCTAAAAAATTTCTATAATTCCAGGAAGCATCATTCTGAGTGGCTTTAATCCTCTTTTCCAACTGATTAATTTCTGAATTCATAGCTTCAGCTCTTTTGTTGAAACCTTCATTAAGCATCTCTTTCTGAATCTAAAAGTAAAAAAATGCATAAAAATTAATTCAAAACTCTTTTCGGCTCAGAAATATATTTCTTATAAGCAGTTGTGTTCAACTACCTATCTTACTCCTAAATTTCTTCTCTCTTGCTCAATCATGAAAGGAGATATTTGAAACAGAGAAGATCCCCAGTTTGATCTGAATACTGGTATCCCAAATACTCGTCATCATCTTTACTAATTTTCAATCTTCCACAGTGGGTGGAACTGCCCCATCCCCTGGACTCATTGAAATACAACAGAAATGGGCATAGTTGTAGCTTCAGGATACAGTGACAGGGGTGGTATCTGGGGTGACACTTTCTCTTTGCCAGATTATTAAGGTTGATTAGCAGGGGGACATTGAGTAATGTTTTTTTCTTAAAAGGAGGCAATTGGTCAAAACAGTTTGGGAACATCAGCAAATATTTGTAACCAATTAAGGTTTCACTTGGATGCTCAACTGACAAATGGACAAGTTGAATGTGCTCCACTGTAAAAAGGTCAGGTGAGAGATAGCACTGATATGATAGTAATAATTCTCAGTTCTGCAGGTGATGGTGAAAACACTCAAATATAGAAATAATGGAAATTTGTTCAGTGTTGTAGATTCTGTAATGAATATGCTAGATGGGTGAAGAAAGGATTCTCGGGGCTGGAGAGATAGCACAGGGGGTAGAGCGTTTGCCTTGCACGCGGCAGACTCGGGTTCGATACCCAGCATCCCATATGGTTCCCTTAGCACCTCCAGGAGTAATTCCTGAGTGCAGAGCCAGGAGTAACCCCTGTGCATCGCCGGGTGTGATCCCCCCCCCCAAAAAAAAACAACAAAAAAGAAAGAATTCTCCCTATGCCACATATTTATTTTGAGGAGACAATCTAAAGTACAGTAATACAAGAATATTAGAAACTGCCATGGTTCTTGATTTAAGTCTGAAACATTTTGATAGTTTTTATAAGCACAGATTTACCTCAGGGTATGTATCTGGTAACAGGCATTTAAGTGATTGATAGTTTTTATAAGCACAGATTTACCTCAGGGTATGTATCTGGTAACAGGCATTTAAGTGATTGGTAGAGATCTTAATAGAGCAAACTGCCTGTTGCTCATACATACATTACAACATATGGTTGTAATCTGTTCACTTGGGCATCCCTAAATCATTTGAAATCCTCACAATAACAACAAAAATCCTATTTACATTGTCCAAAGGCTAGAGAGTATCATGCCCATTTTGAAATCTACAGAGTAGAATACAAAGACTTCTTTTTAAAAAATGTAACTATTTACAGGATTCAATATTTTAATAAATTTAAGCAGTAAAAGGCAAACGTATAGCATGAATAACCCCAACAACTACAGGTTGTAAGTACTAAACATTTTCTTCTATTTAAAACAAACCTGGGGTCTGACCAGCCAAGGATCCACCCAAACAGAGCCCCAGCAATCTGTCCATCCCACAATGCAAAATAACTGCCTTGCCTCCAGTCAGACTCCATTGTCTCTGGACAGAACCTCACCCAGAAATCAACCCACTGAAATTGGGTATGCAGGTCTTTTTGACTGAAATTTCCAGGCTTTCTAGGAATCTGGGTGGGGTACTTCCACCCACCTCCTTATACTTCCAGAAGCCCCAGCAGTTACATCCACATCCCAAAGCGACTGCTCACTTAAAAATTTAACTCCAGCTGTATCATCCTGTTAAAAACTCTGGTTCCTGGAACAATATCTCCAAACTCTCCAACACTGATAATCCAATAGTAGCACTATAGATTGGAAGGGATGTAACATAGAAGGCAACCCATCTAGACTAATCATACAGCAGCATAGAATATTTAACGTGAAATAATATCTTAGCAAACCCTCACACAAGGACTTAATGTCCCCATGGGATTTTCTTCCAAGGAAATAATTTTTAATTCTTCTGTTAGCTATTTGTTGATAACAAGCAATACGAAATAAATTATTTTGGGCTTGGTATTGGAGTAGGCTTGAGGGATGGTTCAGAAAATTGGAAACAATGTTGGAGGAAAGGTGATAATGATGGTAGTATTGGTGTTGGAATATTGAATGCCTATAAAAAATCATCATAAACAACTTTGCAACCACATGCTTACATAAAGTGAAGGAGATATTTTATAAAAGTAGACCTTACCAATGTTATGTAAAATATCTTAGCCCAGAATTTTTTTTAACATTTTATTAAAGATGGGTAAGGCATGATTATTACCATAATAAGATCCAAATATAAAGGAAAATTTAAACCACTGTACTTTAGATTCCAGAGAACTTGCATTTTATGTAACCTATGCATATTATGTAAATGAAAATAAACATTTCATTATATTGTATTAAAGGGTTTATTTTTATTATTAAATAGGTTAAAATCATATAGCAAACACAAATTGCCACTTAGTGATTTATTTTATGATCATTCTATTTGCTATTTATTCAAGTTTTGTTGAAGCAATCAGCATAAAGTAAATTTTTTATGTGCCTAAGGGATAAATTTGAGAATGGGAGGGAAAATAGGAACATTGGTAAAGGGAAGGTTACATGGGTGGTGTTGAAACACCATTCTAAAATTCTTATAACAACTGTATAGAGATTGGAGTGATAGCACAGCTGGTAGGGCGTTTGTCTTGCATGCGGCTGACCCAGGTTTACTTCCTAGCATTCCATATGTTCCCTTGAGCACCTCCAGGTGTAATTCCTGAGTGCATGAGCCCAGAGTAACTCCTGTACATTGCTGGGTGTGACTCAAAAAGCAAATAAATAAATAAATAAATAAATAAAACAAAATACAAATCCCCAAACCAAAAAAACCCACAACTGTATGATCTGTATAATGAACAACTTTATATGTCACGGTATTTTTAATAAAAACATATTTTATTAAAGCTTCTGGACTGAAAACTTTCAAAAAGAATAATTTGACCTAGCATAGATATATAAATGTTCTTCTCTCTTTACCCTATCCTACCCTCACCTACCAAAGCAAAATGTTGTATGAAGAGGACAAAAGAGGGAGAAAATGGAAAATCATGAGACACTAATCATAAATCTCCATTAGATTTATGGGACCTTCCTGGGGACCAAAATATAGCATGTCTCAGAAGACAAAAGCACAGTAAATCATATTAACAAATGATGTCCACCAGACTTCCACTTGAAGTGTCTGTCAAACAGATTTTCCTATTATTTGCCTAGATAAATTTCCTCTTGTGAAAGTGAAGCACTGTAGTAGCACTGTAGCAGGCACCAGTAATGTCTCACAACAAATTATGAGAACTTGTGGTTACTGTTTTTGACATATCAAATATGTGAACTAGCCCGTCCATTTGGGTGTGTATCTCTCACTCCCTTGAGCAATGCCAGAAGACACACCGCTCAAAGAGATTGTTACATGGCCTTAGAGAAATCTTACTCATTGCTGAATGAAACAAAATCAAATACCCATTCTATTTCTATATTTTTGTTTTTTAATTATTTGGCTCTTTTGGGTCCCACCGGTGATGCTCAGGGGTTACTCCTGACTCTTCAGTCAAAAATTACCTCTGGCAGTGCTTGAGGGACCATATGAGATGCCAGGGATTGAACTCGGTCAGCTGTGTGCAAGGCACAAGACCTACCTGCGGTACTGTTGCTCCAACCTCCACTATATTTCATTTTTTACAAATTTGGCAGCAAGAAACATTACTCATATAAAGATTATATATATGTATATATATGTGTGTTTGTATATGTGTATACATACAATACATATATATACACTGAAAGTGAAGACTATACACAAGCACATATATAGAGAGATATATATGTATACATATATACATACATATATACTGAAAAGAACCGAAGAACCACTGTTGGCAGGGACATATTGAAAAAGAACCCTGTTTATCATAGCTCTGAAGGCCATCTGCTTCAGCTTCTAAGTAAAACAGTATGAAAGCTTCTTTTAAAAAATAAGAATAGAGCTTCTATATAACTTTGTGACTCTACTTTCTGGCATCTAACCCAAGAACACAAAAACATTGATTCTAAAAGATGTGTGCATACCTGTGTTCATTGCAGTACTTAGCACATAGCTAGGATGTGGAAGCAACTCATATGCCCAGTGATAGATCAATGGGTAAAGAATGTGTGATATATATACATAATGGATTGCTATGTAGCTAAAAGAACACATAAGGCTTTGCAGCTCCCTGCAATTTGGATAATTTGGAAGAGCATCATATAAACTTGAAGCAAGTTAGAGGGAGAAGGACAAATACCATATAATCCCACTCACCTGTGGTACATACAAAAATTAAGCAAGGGAATAGATCATATTAAATTATAGTATGATGAGGACAAACAATTGGCCCTGAACTTAAACAGAGGAATAGAGGAGGTGGGGAAGTGGTGAGGTGAAGAGACAGAATAGAGGTGATATATGGACTTTGGTGGACATTCTTTGCACTTTGGTAGTGCCCTCAATTATGTAATTGTAATTCAAAACCATAATCGAGGTGCAGAAGAGATGCAGTAAAGCAGGTAAGGCACTTGCCTTGCATGGAACTGATCTAGAATTCAAGCCTTGATAATATGGTTTCCCAGGCACCTTTAGGACTTACACTTGAACACAGAGCCTGAGTTTGACCACAGCACACAGAAAGATATGGCCCAAACACCACGCCCCAGCGAGGAAAACTAAAAGAAAATGTAATTGTTAAAATTATTGTAAACATATCATCTAAACTGTGGAATTAATTAAACAATGAAAGAGAGAAAGCTCTTTATCTTTTCTCTGATCCTGTAAGTGTACGCAGAATTGAATGGGCCCAGTTCTCCAAGGCCCAGGCAGATTTACCTTCAGTTTATGTTCCAACATTTTGTTACAGTTTTCCAAAAGGTATTCTCTTTCTTGGTCAAACTTTTGTTTCAGTTGAGCTATGTTTTCCTGTAGAGTCTTCTTTTCTGCTTCGATCAGTTGCTGCTGCTCCTGTTGCTTCTGCTTGAACAGCTCGTGCTCCTTTTCAGTTTTCTCCCTCCTAGTCCGCTCCTCTGCCCCCAGACGTTTTAGAGAAGGGGAAAAAATTCAGTGAGGAATCATCCCTACATTCCTGAGCTCATAAGTCAAACCACAGAGGAGTGGGATAATCTCTGTATTTCTGCCCCCTCCTGCTATTTGAGAATGTGACTTTCAAGAAAGGCCCCCTTTACAGAGGTACAATCAGGATTCCTCCTGTGTTCCGATTGAGTAAAGTGTGTTTTGCACTAGAAAGGAAAGTCTCTGCAGAAAGTCTTTTCTAACAAGTTTGTCAAAGGGCACTGCAGAACCCTCCCCTCCCCATGGTGTTCTAAACCCAGCATGGTACCTGCTAAGATTCTTTCCCCTTCAGTGAGGGCTGTGTCTAACTGCAGGATGGATTTCTCCACTGTCTCCTGTGACAGCAAGAAGTTCTGGAAGACCTCATTTGACTGAAATAAAACAGAAAGAGCAAAGAATTTAGATTAATGCTAACATACTATGTCTATTTACATATTTTTCATGCCTTCCATAAAAATTATGTACAGCCATATGACCAGTATGTAGGGTATTTTCCTTGCACATGCCTGAACTAGGTTTGATGCCAGTATCCCATATGGTACCCCGAGCACCATCAGGAGAAATTCCTGTGTGTAGAGTCAGGAGTAATTCCAGAGTATTACCAGGTGTGCCCCCTTCCACCAAATTATGTACAGTCTTCTTACAAAGTCTAATCTCCTTGACAAAAGTTTTCCACTACCAGTCTTTCTACCAGTGATACTTCTTTCTACCATCTACTTAGAAAAATAGTGGAACTGAAGAGTTCATGTCATCATATCCATCCCCCACCCTGACACTCATATTTGAACTTTATTTTGTGTTCCTCTTCATTCTAATCTCTAGAATCTTTACACTTCCCTGATTCCTCACCTTCACTCCTTTCCTGGACACCTGTTTATAGTCCTGCTTAATTCTTTCCATTATTTCCATGTAGCATTTGTGCCCTCCAGGAACAGAGAAAGCTCCTACTGAAAGTCTTTCCATAAGGGCCTTTGAAAGCTGCTCAATAATAGCCTGGCAGCATTTAACAGATGCCTCTTCATTCTGCAGCAAAAGTTCTTTCTTTTTATTCTTTAGGATTTCCTGCAATAATAGATGATATCATGAGAAGAGGGGACAGTAGCAATAAAATTGCAAATATCCTACTAGGAAGATAGATCTAATAACAGTCCTCTAAAGTCTCTGATAGAGAAGAAACTGCAACAAAAGGAAACCAAAAGTTTTCACTGACTCACAACCTTCATAAACTCTCTACAGGATCTTGGGGAAGTTTTTCAGCTCTCTAGTTCTCTGTTGCCTCAACAAAATATTGCACTTGCATTGTCAAACTTCTTGATCCTTTGCAATAGTAGCATTCAATTTTCCTATCAGTAATAGAGCAGAGAACACTAAGAGAAAAATGGTATAGGAGAAAGTTTAACAGGATATTTTTTTTTGTTTTTGGAATGTGTATATTTCCATGGGAAAATATATCAGCTCAGGAATGACTTTTCTTGTTCTGTGCAAACCGGGATGTTGTCTCATAGTTTCCTTCAGAAGGGTGTCTAACATGATTTTGCTACAAAGATGAAAAAAATTAAAGAAAGAGGCGCATTTTTAGGGGGAAAATAATAAGACAATGTAGTACTGTGAAGCTCTATATCTCAAGAAATCCACATTACCTTGCCTATGACTGAGAGCTGAGGTCAATAAAGGCACATACGTGTTTCATTAGACAAGGGGATGGATGGCCATGGGAATGCGAAATTACCAGCAGTTCCTTCTGAAACTCTTGGTTTTTATCCTTGAAGGAATACTTCATGAATATTGCAATGGCCTCATTCTCACAGGTTGCATGCATGTCCAGGAGCTCCTGGACCGTCTCTGTTGGGAATTTTACTTTCTTGGTCATTTGTTCACTGTAGTGATCAGATGCCATCCGCACTGCCGCTGAGTTCTCTAGCTCAGCTAGTGCTGTCACTGCGTTCTCCAAACAAGGAACTGCTCCACTTCTGATGGTATCCACGTAAGTCACCACCAGAGTAGACATACCTAAATAAGCAAATTATGTAGGGAATTGAAGAGATGAATATAAAGCTATCACTCAATAGGATATAATATTCAGAATTGGAATTCAGAGGATTCTGTCCTAAAAATTAGTTGAATAAACTGGGAATTTTACAATACTGGATTATAATTGAACAGGAATCAAGTTTTGGAGACTACATTTCTAATCATTTAACACACAAACATTTTTAATCATTTAACACACAAACAGGTTTCCTAATTTATCTTCACTTTACTTTTCATATTGACATTTCTTGGGAGTGGGGCATTATGATATCTGCATTGCTTAAAAGATTACCTTCATCCAAAATACCAAGGTGTATCTGGAAAATCTTTTCCATTAAGAAATTAAAAACAAAATATACCAAACATTTAGGGTAAAATACTTTTATAAAATTTCTGAAATTTTAAATACATTTCTGAAGAATTGTAACTTAATACTTATTTTTGGATTTGTCCATTCTCTCAAAATATCTGCTCTCCTCTGCAAAGAACACTTTAGTGTAAAAGCTCTTTTTAGAAGCTAGTATAGGTTTTTCATATCTGGTTACCAAATTTATCATTAGTGTAAAAAGTTCTGAATGAGTGAAATTCAAAGCTTCACTTTGTGACATAGTTTACCATTAAAGAGCTGTCGCAAATTTCAAAAGTGAGATAAATATAAACTATGCATATCTGTTCAATTAGTACGAATCTCCATAGATCCATATTTCCATATAGAATAAAATGCTTTAAATACTTTAAATTAAATTAAAATGCTTTAAATTATGAAGCACGTTCTCCATATGTTGGAATCCTACACATATAAAAAAAAGGAGACTCACGTTTTCCGGTAACAATGACACCCTCTTTAAGCGTCTTGATTCTTGCATTGGTGAATATATAAGAACAGAAATTTTTGGTTTGTTCCAGAAATTGGGGATCCAGTTGGTTTTTAGGTACATTCTCAATATTGGCTAGAAGATCTTTGTTTTGTACTGGCCAATTAAAGACAAAACACTTCCTTTTTGGAAAGAAATCCCTAGTACACTCTTTTGTAGAATTGGATCTTTCAATTTGGGGGTTTCTGCCTGAAGAAGAAGAAGTATACATTTTTCAGCAAGAACAGTCCAGGGGTAATTGAGCTAAAAATTTTTCATGCAGCGACACATTTTTTTGGTATTCTGCCATATGTATGCCTATAACTCCTTGAATTTAGATCAATATTTCTTTATGTGGATAATGTGTACCAATAAGTATAAAAAGAAATTTGGGGATACATCTGATTCAGGTAAAGGAAGCATAATGTTAGTAATCCCAACCTCAATATTTGATTTTAGTTTGTCTATTAGATGCTGAAAGAACAAATGGTATAAAGAAAGAAAAAGTCAGATGTAGCTTTTAATCTAATTGATCCCATGAGAGTTAAGTTTTGGCTCAAAAAAAAGAACACAGATGAAGGATGGTGAAACAATATTCTGAATATTAGTAAAATCATACTAGCTATTTTAAAAATTAATTTGATGCTGAAAACAAATACAATATTGTTTTTCATAAAAATCTGTTGATTTTGTAATCAGGAGTAATATATTTCACTGAAATATCACTTTCCCTCTGTGAGTTAGAAAGTAGAGTTGACCTGACAATGTTGCTCTTCTGTTAATTGATATCAGAAAAAGCATAAATAGAACTGTTAAAATAATATGAAGAAATCAGAACTGAAATAAAGGTTTCATGAAATATATCTTCATGTAAATATGATCCATTAAATAATGGGATTTATTAACTTAATAATGTGCTTTGTCCTACTTTGGACAAACTGGCAGGCTACCAAATGTAGCCTGCCCACACGGCAGAGTCTGGCAAACTCCCCGTGGCGTACACAATATGCCAAATACCAGTAACAATGATGGGTCTCATTCTCCTAAAGAGCCTTGAATATAATCTCAGGGCTAGGATGAAAGAGACGTTACTGGGGCCTGCTTGAGGCAATCGACGAATAACAGGATGATTTGTGATTTGTGAATAATGTGCTATTTATTTTATCCTAAATTGTTTAATGCAGCTTTAAGCATCTTAATAACTTCATTACATTAAATACTTTTTACTAGAGCCTTATTAAATAAGTATATTAATATCTGTTAAGAATAGTATTGTTCAATATTTGTGACGAGAAGCACATGGCACTGAAAATATAAGGATGGGTCAGAGCAATGGTACAGCAGGTAGGATGCATACCTTGCAGGAAGTCCACCCAGATTTGATCCATGCCACCCCATATAGATATCTGGACCTGATAGGAATGATCTATGCCTGCACAACCAGGAGTAAATCTGAGCACCACCGGGTGTAGCCCCAAAATAAAAGTAAATGTATAAGAATACATTCATTTTCAGAAATATTAAAAATATATTTCTTGCAGATATTTTCAGGGCATAAAGTTATTTTGAAAATGATACCATATGAACATTAAAATCTTATTTTCCTCCTTAAGAAATAGATATGTGCAAACTTTTTTTAACTTCAATTGTTATTTTAATATCACATAAGGTTTTAATCAGCGTTTTTTCTAAAGAAAGGCAGAAAATGAAAGTCTTAGGTCTTTAGAAACATTAGCCCACATTGTTATCTAAATATCAAATTTTAAAGTAAGCAAGAATTAATTTTGAGTTATTTTAAGCTATATAATTTTATTTTTCTCTTATTATTTTGGACAGGGCTGATGTGGGTCTCACATGGAATTACATAGGTCTAACTCCTGGCTCTGTGCTCAGAGTTCACCTCTGGTTGGATTTGCAGGACCATATGAGATATGTGGGATTGAAATCAATTTGATCTATTTTGTTCTCTTATATGAACATTAACTCCAGTCCCCAGAGCTTCTTCACAAAATTCAACCTAGTCTCAAATATAAATACAAGTTCAGAAAGGACAGGATTAAGTAGTTCCCACACTCTTTGGGCCATCCACTTCCCAAGCCATGAACTCTTACCTCTACTCAGTTTCAAGGCATTTTCCAGGTACTCATCTTCTGTGATAGAGTGACCATCAATATTCAGTTCCAGAATGAAATCACGGACAGTCCAGATAAAGTCTGGAAAAAAACCCACAAATTCCGCAGAATCGTCTTCTTCATCAGGGCTAGTGGAAGACTTTGCCTTAATGAGTTCTGTGAGCTCTGTCACATAACTAGGATTTAGTTAAAGGAAAGAAAATAACATCAACAGTCCATACATTTATTTAATAACAATAATTAAAAAGGAGATTATGCACACTCTGTTGACCAGTGTCCCCTCCTACCACCTTTCCGTCCCAGGGAGAAGGAAAGAGAAACTGATTCTGTCTCCATTCAAACAACACAAGGACACTTGGGGGTTTGATTCCTGGAAGGATACTGCAGCTGCTCCAGGGCCTGGTGATTGATTGTGCCCACACTGTTGTAGACAAAGCTACTGCACAGAAGTATAGCCAAGGCAAAGATCCACGAGTCATTCTTAGGGTTTGCCTGGGATACAAGTTTAAAAGGAGGATTAGCAACTTACTGTTTGGAATTCCAGTCAATCTTTTAACCAATCATTCTTTTCTTTATTTAACCACTCACCATGCAAATAAATAGGTGTGAAGACAAGCATAAATGAAGATATCAACTGTGCCAAGTATAAAACATATTTTGTGATTTTAATACTTTCATACATAAACTATTCTAAACATCATAAATTGTTGTTTTCAGTTGGATAGAAACATAATAGGGCTGGAGAGAGAGTATAGCAGGTAGGGAAATGTTCTTATATGTGGTAGACCCAGGTTTGACTCCTGGCATTTCATATTGTCTTCCAAGCCTTCTAGGAGTGATCCCTGTGTGCAGAGTGGGAAGTAACGTGTGAGCAGTGCCTAAAACCAAAATAACAAACAAGCACAAAGGCATAATATATATAGAAAAACTCACATAGGATGTATAATTAGTTGTTTAATGATGAGTCTCAGAAAATCCTCATTGCATACATATTTCATAACCATTGTCTTGTAAAATACACCAAAGAAGACATAACTAGATATTCAACTTACATTAATGAATAAATATTTCTAGAAAGTCACATAATTTCCCGGGGATTTTAGATTCTAAATAGCAATATTAAAATAAAAATTGTTATTTTCAAGAAAACAAAGTCAAAGCAATTACAAGAATCCATAAGAGGGTCTTCTTCCACCCCCAGGTCAGTGACTCGAACCCGGAACTTGGCTTTCCCCGCGAACACGCCCCAGGCGGCCTCTAGGACCCTGAGATGCTCATCTTCCATCGAGCCTCTTCCTGTTCATCCCCAACGCTGTGCCCAGTCTTCTTTCACCCCAAGGTTGTACCCTTCACAGACACCAGATACCCAGAGGGGCGTGGCCTCTGTAGAAGTGTGTGTGGTCTCTTTAAAAATGGATGTGGCCTAATTTTGGGTCACAGGTAGTTTACCCATACCCAGCAATCTTGTGTAATATCTCAGTCTACATATCTGCACACCAACATGAAGAAACAATGCAAATCTCCACAGCAAAGGGGAAGACAATGAAGAATCCAGATGCCTCAGTAGGTGCTACTCACCTAAGGGACCTCTCTGAGAAAGAATTCAGATATGAAGTAATAATGATGTTCAATGAACTCAATGAAACAGTCAGACAGATATCCAGTAAATTAAATGAGGACATGAGAGAAACAATCGAGAAATTACGGGAAGAAATGAGAGCAGAAACTGGAAAGCTACACACAGAAATGTCACAAATAAAAGATTCGGTCACAACCATGATCATCCTGTTGCTCGTCGATTTCCTTGAGCAGGCACCAGTAACGTCTCCTTCTTCCTAGTCCTGAGATTTTAATAGAGACATTTCAATGCTCTTTCAGGATTAAGAGAATGAGACCCATCATTGTTACTGGTATTTGGCATATTGAGTACAACACAGGAAGTTTGCCAGACTCTGCCGTGTGGGCAGGACACTCTTGGCAGCCTGCCAGGTTTTCCTGATTCGGTAGATGAAATAAAAAATTCAGTCTGTGCCCTCAACAGTAGAATTGACACAGCTGAAGACAGAATCAGTGGGCTGAAAGATCAGCTGCACCAAGCCTACAGGCAACAACAAACAATGGCAAAGGACTTCAAAATAGCTCTAGAATGAATCAGAGTCCTAGGAGATGATTCCAAGAGGAACAACATTAGAATCATTGGAGTAGCAGAAGGTCAGGGAAACAATCCCAATGAAAAAGCCACGGTTAAACAAATCATTGCTGAAAAGTTCCCAGAGCTGGACAGTGCAGCCATTCAGATTCAAGGAGCCCGAAAGGTACCAGCTAAAAGAGACCCTAACAAAAACACTCCAAGACATCATATTTAGAATGATGGATGCCACAGATGAGACACAATACTACAAGCATCAAGGTCAAAGAAGTAAATCACATAAAAAGGAGCACCCCTTAGAGTCACAGCAGATCTAGCAGAGGAAACCCTCCAAGTCCGAAAGCAATGATGGGATATAGTGAAAAAGCTCACTGAAATGAATGCTTCACCAAGAATACTCTATCCAGCTAAACTCTGACTCAAACTTGAAGAAATGTTACACTATTTTCTGGATAAACAGCAGCTCAGGAACTTCATAGACTCAAAACCAAACCTATATGAAGGAATAAAGGGGCTACTATAAGACAAGACAAACCCTACAGGCACAACAGACCCTTACTGAGAGATGGCACAAAACATGATGACATAATCTCTCTCAACGTCAATGGTCTAAATTCACCAATTAAGAGACAAAGAATGAAAAATGGATTCAGAGACAGAATCCAACATTATGCTGCCTAGAAGAAACTCATCTGAACAGTCAGAGCAAACACAGACTCAAAGTTAAAAGATGGAAACCAATCCTGCAAGAAAACAGCTCCCTCAGAAAAGCTGAGGTGCCCATACTAGTATCTGACAACATAGATTTCAGGTTGAAAAAGATTAGAAGAGACTGAAAAGGCCATTTTCTATTTATCAAAGGATACATACAACAGGAAGAAATCAGTCTTATATGTATACACACCTAATTAGGGAACAGTTAAATATTTAAAACAACTGCTAACAGATTTTAAGAGGACATTGCTAGCAACACAATAGTAGGCTGACACTTCAACAATGACATATCAACTCTGGATAGATCAACAAGAACAAAACTCAACAAGGAAACATTGGCTTTGGAAGAAATAGAAGAGAGAGAGCTATAGATCTATACAGGCCTTTACACCCCCAAAAGAAAGAATACACATTCTTCTACAGTGTACATGGAACATTTTCCAAAATAGATCATGGCTAGGCCACAAAACATACCTCAATAGATCAGGTACATAGAAATAGTATCAACAATCTTTTTAGACTACAATGCACTGAAGATAGAAGTGAATCACACACAGACACGGAGAACCAAATCAAAAATCTGGAAATTAAACAACTCAATGTTGAACAAGTGGGTCAGGAAGGAAGTCAAGGATGAATCAGAAAATACCTGGAAATAAATGAGAATGAAGACATGAGTTACCAGGGATGCAGCTAAAGCCACGTAAAGAGAAAAATTTATAGCTCTGCAAGCATTACTCGAGAAGGAAGAAAGGGCCCACATAAACAACTTGACTTCACAGCTCAAGATCTTAGAAAAAACCAACAAAAGGAGCTCAAACTAGGCAGAAGGAAAGAGATTATAAAACTCAGAGCAGAAATCCACAACATGGAAACCGAAAAAAAAAAAGAAATCCGAAAGATCAATGAAACCAAAAGCTGATTCTTCGAGAAAACAAACAAGATATATAAACCACTAGCAACACTCACAAAGAAACAGAGAGAGAGAAAACCCTAATAAACCAAATCAGAAATGAGAAGGGGGATATCACAACAGAAGCCAAAGACATTCAAAGGATCATCAGAGATTACTTTGAAAGTCTGTATGCCAAAAACAAGGAAACATAGAAGAAATAGATGAATTCCTGGATTCCTATAATCTCCCAAGGCTGAATCAAGAAGATCTAGAGTAGCTGAATAGGCCTATTAACTTCAAGGAAATTCAAACTGTAATCAAAAGTCTTCCCAAAAACAAAAGCCCAAGTCCAGATGGATTCACTAGCGAATTTTTCCAAACATTTAAAGAGGACCTATTGCCAGTTCATGTCAAGCTTTTCAAGGAAACTGCAGAAACAGAAACTCTCCCAAACAGTTTCTATGAAGCTTGTATATCTCTAATAACAAAAGGAAATAAAGGCACCACAAGAAAGGAAAACTACAGGCCAATATCCCTGATGAATATGGATGTGAAGATTGTCAACAAAATACTAGCAAATAGAATTCAACAACTCATCAAAAAGATCATACACCATGACCAAGTGGGATTTATCTGGGGGATGCAAGGATGATTTAACATTTGACATCGGAAATCAATCAACATAATCTATCACATCAACAGAAGAAAAGATAAAAACCATATGATCAGATGCAGAGAAAGCATTTGACAAGCTCCAGCAACCATGTATGATGAAAACCCTCACCAAAATGGGTATAGAAGGGACTTTCCTCAATATAGTTAAAGCAATCTACCACAAGCCTATGTCAACTATCATACTCATTGGGGAAAAACTAGAGCCTTCCCTCTAAGATCAGGACAGGACAAGGATGCCCTCTCTCTCCACTGCTGTTCAATATAGTACTAGAAGTACTTGCAATAGTGGTTAGACAAGAAAAAGATATTAAGGGCATTCAGGTAGGAAAGGAGGAAATTAAGCTCTCACTATTTGCAGATGATATGATACTATACTTAGAAAACCCTAAAACCTCTACCAAGAAACTCCTAGAAACAATAGACTTGTATAGTAAAGTTGAAAGCTATAAAATCAATACCCAAAAGTTCATGGCTTTCCTATATGCAAATAGTGAGAGAGAAGAAAGTGACTTGAAAAAAAACAATTCTTTTCACAATTGTGCCCCTGAAAATGAAGTAGCTAGAAATCAGCTTAACTAAGGCAGTAAAAGACCTGTACAAAGAAAACTACAAAACGCTACTTCAGGAAATAAAAGAGGACAAGAGGAAATAGAAAAATATCCCCTGCTCATGGATCGGGAGAATTAACATTGTCAAAAAGGCAATGCTTCCCAAAGCATTGTACAAATTCAATGCGATCCCTTTAACTATACCCACGACATTCTTCAAAGAAAAGTAAAGTAAAGTAAAGGCCCTCCCATTGATCATCGATTTGCTCGAGCGGGCCCAGTAACGTCTCCATTGGAGACTTTGTTGTTACTGTGTCGGGCTGGAGCGATAGCACAGCAGGTAGGGCGTTTGCCTTGCACGCAGCCAACATGGTCGACCAGAGTTCGATTCCTCCGCCCCTCTCGGAGAGCCCAGCAAGCTACCGAGAGTATTCGATTCGATATTCTTCAAAGAAATGGAGCAAATACTCCTGGAATTCATATGGAGCAAAAAGCCCCATGAATAGCTAAAGCAATTCTTGGGAAAAAAGAAAATGGGAGGAATAAACCTCCCCAACTTCAAACTCTACTACAAAGCAGTAATAATTAAAACACCATGGTACTGGAACAAAGACAGAACTGTAGACCAATGCAACAAGACTGAATATACTGACATCTCCCCCCAAACGTATGATCATCCAATTTTTGATAAGGGAGCAAGAAATGTGAAGTGGAGCAAGGAAAGTCTCTCTAACAAATTGTGTGGCAAAACTGAACAGCTAAATGAAAAAAAATGGGTTCAGATCTCTACCTAACACCATGTACAAAAGTAAGATCAAAATGGATTAAAGACCTCAACATCAGAATGGAGTCCATAAGGTACATTGAAGACATTGTTGGCAAAACCCTCCACAACATTGAAGCTAATGGTATCTTCAAATATGACACGCACTGGCCAAGCAAATGAAAACAGAGATAGACAAATGGGACTAGCTTAAACTAAGAAGCTTCTGCACCTCAAAAGAAACAGTGACCAAAATACAAACACAGTCTACAGAATAGGAATGTATATTCGCCCAATGCCCATCCGACAAGAGGTTGATATCAAGGATATACAAAGTACTGGTTGAACTCCACAGATGAAAACATCCAACTCCATCAAAAAATGGGTGACGAAATGAACGGAAATTTTCTCAAAGAAGAAATCTGAATGGCAAATAGGCACATGAGAAAATGCTCTACATCACTAATCATCAGGGAGATGCAGATCAAAACAACAAGAGATATCATTTCATACCACAGAGACTGGCCCACATCAAAAGAACAAAAGCAACTGGTATTGACGTGGATGTGGCGAAAAAGGGGTTCTCCTTCACTGCTGGCGGGAAAGCTGACTGGTACAGCCCTTTAGGAAAACAGTATGGACGATTCTCCAAAAATTAGAAATTGAGCTCCATTTGACCCACCAATACCACTCCTGGGAATATATCCCGAAGAGGCAAAAAAGTATAGTCAAAATGATATCTGCACTTCTATGTTCATTGCTGCACTGTCAACAATAGTCAAAATCTGGAAAAAACCCGAGTTCCTGAGAACAGATGACTGGTTAAAGAAATTTTGGTACATCAACACAATGGAGTACTATGCAGCTGTTAGAATAGATGAAGTCATAAAATTTACATACAAGTGGTAATACATGGAAAGTATCATGCTAAGTGAAATGAGTCAGAAAGAGAGGGACAGACATAGAAAGATTGCATTCATCTGGGGAATATAAAGTAACAAACTAGGAGACTAACTTCCAAAAATAGTCTAGATAAGTACCAGGAAGTTCACTCCATTGCTTGAAGGCCAGCTGCACATGCTAGGGGAAAAGGCAGCTCAGATAGCGAAGGGAACACCAAGTAAAGGGTGTTGGGAGGATCCTCCCAGGATGGGAGACACATGCTGAAAGTAGACTATAAACCGAACATGATTGCCACTCAATGCCTTTTTTGCATACTTCAGCACCCAAAAGGATAGAGAGAACAAAAGGGAATGCCTTACCACAGAGGCTGGATGGGATGGGGGAGGGGATGGGGTTGGGAGTGGTACTGGGGTTATTGGTGGTGGAGAATGGGCACTGGTGGAGGGATGGGTACATGATCACTGTATAACTGAAACCCAAGCAAAAAAATTGGAGCAAAATAAAAAATCCACAACTGTACCTCATGGTGTTTCACTAATAAAAATTTTAAAAATTTTTAAAAAACCAAGAATACATAAGATATTGATAAGATTAATAACCACAATAAAAAGACAATTTCAATAATGATTTTACATGTATGAATAAATACTATCAGCAGGAGTATTCTAGCTTTAAAATAGGTTAAAATGGAGTCTGGAGAGAGAGTACAATGGATGAGGCACTTGCCTTTCATGTGGACAACCTGGATTTAATCCCCAATATGACGTATGGTCCCTCAAGGCTCTCCAGAGTGATCCCTGAGTTCAGAGCCATGAACAAGGCCTGAGCAGAGCTGGATGTAATCTAAGCATTGTAGCACTGTCCCTCCTATTGTTCATCGAGTTGCTCAGGCGGGTCCAGTAACGTCTTCATTGTGAGACTTGTTGTTACTTTGTTTGGCATATCGAATACATCATGGGTAGCTTTCCAGACTTTGCCATGCAGGTGATACACTCTCGGTAGCTTGCCGAGCTCTCCGAAACGGGCAGAGGAATCGAACCCAGGTCGGCCGGGCCAGCCAGGTTCAAGGCAAATGCCCTACCACTGTGCTATCGCTCCAGCCCATGTAATCTAAGACTTTTACAAAAATTTATTTAAATGCTATCAAAAAGGAACAATTCTTGACCTGAGATTACAGGGTTAAAGTACATGACTTGCCTTGTATGACTCTGGCTTAATCTCTGGCATTGTGTGTGTGGCTCCAGCCCTAGTATTACCCAGTGTGGTTCTAAAGGTTCCTGGTACTTCCAAGAACATCCAGAGTGGTCCTCAAGACTACAGAGTTTGAACAGCACCACATTCTCAGTCCCTCAATCTCTTGATCCTTACATCTTTTACATAGAACTGAGGAAACCAATAACTTGATAATTATTCAAGGGATCCCTTCCTGATGAGAATTGCTTTGGAGGCCCAAAGAGACAGACAAATAAAACAAAGCATATCTCTGTGAATTTCAGAAAGAGAGTCTGATGTTACAATTTACTTAAAGTGGTTTTTTTGGTGGGGAGGTCATCACACTGGCAATGCTCAGGGGTTACTCCTGACTCTGCACTCAGAAATTACACTTGCGATACTCAGAAGACAATATGGGATATGGGGGAGTTCAGCCCCTGGTCAGTCATGTGAAAGGCAAATGCCCTACCCACTGTACTATCACTCCACACCTGGTTATTTAAAGTCTTGAGCAGAGTGTTCAATAATGATTAGAAGGTAGATGATGCTGCAGATATAAAGATCAACAGGAACAAGATTAGGAATGCTAGCATATAGTGAAATTTGCAATATAACAGTTATTAAATTTGATATTAAATTTGACTTGAGCAGAGATCTAAAGAAAAGGCTGAATATGAAAAACATAGCGTAGGTTGCTAAGATCTAACTTGTTTGTATAAATTATGGCATAATCTGGAAATCTTTTTTATATAAGCAATGTGAACAGTTTATTACACAAATATATCAGGTGAAATTTATGTCTATAAGACCCTACATGAGAATTATTAGAGGGTTAAAATTGGGTACCATCTATTTATTAGTTATTTCCCCATACCACATTTAATAATCAATTAAATAATTATCAATTGGTATAGGAAGTAGTTAGAATTATGACAACTAAAATTATTCAGTGAAAATCACTGCATCAGTGTTTGATGTATGATTCAATATATAAAATTTCTAACTTTTTGTACAGAAATGTAAGGATATCAAGTTTCAGATGCTATTTTTGTCTCAATGTAAGTTAAAAAATTGAATTGTCTCATATATTAATACAAAACTAAAATAACAACTATTTATTATAACAATTATAGTATAAATTATGATTTTATAAAATCAGCAATTCCAAACAGGATTCAGAGTTTTTGAGAATTCCTTAAGAGTTCATAAAATACATAAACACAACCCATAACTCCCACTCTAAAATTCACATTTCTCTCATAGGTTGTTGGTAGATAAGAAATCTTTCTACTCCTTCAGTCTGAGCTAATGTTCTTTCCTTCCAAGCACTCTTATGCTTTCTCATGGTGAAAACTCTAACTGGCTAAATAATCACCTTTCAGGCATAAAGTGCTTCTTTTCCCAGGTGTTGCAGTGCTGCTAGGAGTCAGCTGGAAGAAGTTGGTATTCTTCACTATGAAGGTATGCATCAGTGAGTGATCAGATCTTTTCTCATCTCAGGATAACTCAAAAGTACAGTTCAGTAAGAAACTCCCACAAAGTTGACATAAGTAGTGTTGAACTACCAGTAGAATTTCCTCTTACCAATCTGCCTCTATTTCAATAAAATTTCATTCATTCTGATTAGAAGGCATGTATTGTTCTAAAAGGGAAAAATTGTACTTCAGGAAAGGATTTTGATTTGGGTCTCTATGTAGGAATACATGTATGTGTGTATGAATGTATACATGTATGTATGTATGTGTGTATGTATGTATGTATGTATCTATCTATTTATCTATAGAGAGCTTCAATGCTCAGAGGTCTGGAATTCCAATGCTCAATGATCACTGACCAAATTTAATCAAATATTTCATTCACTGCCAATGGAAAATAATTTTTAATCTACTATAACAACCTATCTTGTCTTACCTAGTAGTAAGATTCAACTAAACCAAAATTTATTCATTTAAAATAGCTGGGTTTCAGAAGTCTAAAGATAGATCAGAGTGGTTAAATTAAGAATCTTCAAGAGAAATAATAGAAGTGAAAAGAAACTATCTGTGACTTTTTCCCATACCTTTTCCACATCTCCTAAGCCCTCAGTGTCCAGCAGGATGAGGACTTGATCTGGCTTGGAGGGGTGGGGAAGACACCACATCCAGATACCTTTAGTTTTAGATTGCACTGTTGAGCCCAGAAGAAAACCTGCAAGGTGAGAGGCAAAAGCATAACAATGGTAGCAGCAAGTCATCTATGTAACCAGAGGACACCACAAATTAGCTTAGGAAGGAATGAAAATACCTCAGCATGCTGGATGGTATTTTTTGATTTCCTCAAGAATGAACAACATTATGTAAGTTATTTTTTCCAAAACAAAAACTTCAACTTTGAGAACAATGCTTCACAAGAGTGCACGATATCGACAAAGTTTTATCATTGACCCGACAAAATGTAAGATAGTGATAACCATTACAAGAGTATGATAAATGAAGGTATGTTTTAAAGCCAATGAAAGGCAAATTGCATAGAGCATTTGGAATAACAAAATTAGAACAGGAAGTTTATATCATATCTATGTATTGGTGGGAATATTTCAGATGGAAACAGAATATGTTTCAAGAGAAGGTATATATATATACATATATATGTATGTATGTATAGATATTGAAAGAGCCTGGAGACTGAGCAGGTGAAGAATGAAACTTCAGTAATTCAGGAAACATTTTACTTGCTGGAAGTAAAGCTAAAGTGGGTAAAGTGGGTAAGAAATTAATTCCAATTAAACATTTAAAGTTTAAGTTGAAATGCTGTATTATTGGGAGGAGTTAGTTTTTCCTTTTATGTGACCAATGCTGAACGTCTGAAGGATTATATATAATATTATGTTTTATTAAACATATAGAAACTTACATATATAAAGTTTACATATATCAATATATTATATTTATATTATATATGCATATATATATTAGAGAGAAGCAATTGTTTCATGACCTAGTATACTACTCACCTTGATTTTGTCCTGCAAGACAGTTCATCAGGTAGGATTTGCCTGTACGATATGGCCCTACAATGGCCACCACCACCACTGGCTGAGAAATCTTCTGTAGAATCTCTAGAGCTTCCTGGTTCACTGACAATTTTTCATTCTTGTTTTCCACCAGACAAATGGGGGTCATCATTTTGGGTGCAGACGCCATGAAAACCTGTAAACCAAGAAGAGCCTCCAGTAGGCCAAAGAGTAAAAATGTTATTTTCTGTGTTTTGTTATCCAAATGGCACATCAATTTATGACTAGGTCAGAATTTCTTTTTTTAATTAATTTTTTCATTAATTCACTATGAGGTACAGTAAGTAAGTAAGTAAAGGACCTCCCGTTGATCATCGATTTGCTCGAGCAGGCCCAGTAACATCTCCATTGGAGACTTTGTTGTTACTGTGTTTGGCATATCGAATACGTCACAGGGAGCTTGCCAGGCTCTGCCGAGCGGGCGAGATACTCTCGGTAGCTTGCGGGGCTCTCCAAGAGGGGCGGAGGAATCGAACTTGGGTCGGCCATGTTGGCTGCGTGCAAGGCAAACGCCCTACCGCTGTGCTATCGCTCCAGCCCCACTATGAGGTACAGTAACAAAAATTTCATTGAACTTCTATCATGAAACACCCATGGCAAATAACCAACTTTATACAAACCACCTCTGGCTCTTAGCTGTAAATAAGCGTTGAACTTTCAGGTTCAAAATATCAAAATGCAGCTATTTTGGGACTAACTTTTCATTTTGATGTTCTGATACTTGTCCTGAGGAATTATTAAACTTAGATTCCCTATTTTTAATACTTTACTTCAAATTACTCTAGGGTTACTCAGGGTTTACTCTGGCTCTGAACTCAGGGATCACTCCTGGGGCTGGCGGGCGGCGGGGGAGGCTCAAACTAGTTATTAGTTATTTTTAACACATAGTAACACAGGTGTAAAAGTTGATTCTACAGTTTTATGGCATTCTCACTTTAAATTATTCTTACACAATTAATAGAATGTTTTCTCTTTCTAAGCAGATATCCCTTGATATCATAAGCACTTATGTACTCTGAATGGACCCTGTCTAGTTCAGTGTGTTCTAAGGACTTCAGCAAAGCTGATAAAGCAAAGCAGGTTCTCAGTGAGGATCTCCTCTTGGTGCTCATGCACAGCCATGAGGGAGCAGTGAACTGTGTTGAGCACCGAGTACCTGTCTGTCACTTCTGTGTGAATGTGTGTGCTTGCGCTCCCACAGGCCCTCCTATCTAAGTGACTGTATAGTGCAGATCATTATGGGAGGGACAGGAGGAAACCTGTCCTGGGAAACTAAGGCAAGAGATCAACTCCCAAGCAGAAATCCTTTCCCATTCGCTTTCAGTCTAACAAGAGAAATAGCTAGAGGTAAATTAAAATGCTGCTGAAGGCAGCAAGAAGGTTTAGCTCTAGGCAATTTAAGGGATGAGAGAAGAATGGAGTAAAAGGCAGGTAAGAAAAAAAACAGGAAAGATGCAGCACGCGAGCAAGGCAATGGAAGATGTAGCAGAGGGAGTAAGCTAAGAAAGGAAGCACTTAGTTTCCAGTAGCAAGATTTTTTCTAAGGCCACAGCACCAGGTTCAGTTTGGACACCCAGCTTTGGGTCTGCCTAACTACAGGTTTACCAGAGATGCCTGTAGTGAAAATAGGGACCATTAATGGAGACGGCCGAATTCAACAAACCTCTGACCAATGGCAGGTCATGGGTGGTGTTCCCTCCTGCAAGTTTTTTTGGTTTTCCAGGTCACTGAGTGGTGTCACCTCCTGCAGCTTCTTGGTTTTCCTGTCACCAGGGCACAGGGTGGTACCCCGTCCTGTAACATTTTGGGCATGCCAGGTCACAGGGTGGCATAACCTCCTGAGAGTTTTTGGTTATAGTTTTGCCAAAGGGTCATTCTGTTTTAGGGTTTTTTTCAGTTTTAGGAAAAGAAGCATTTTACCAAACTTTGCAACACCACATGACTGAAGTATGACTACACACGGGGAAAGATGGCAGCTTGCACTACCAGACCAATTTGCAGTTGGATCTTTTTAGGAAGAAGCAGAAGAAATGGGATTATCAAAGCAGAGAACAGAGGGAGATGTGTGATCATATGATTAACTATTTAATATTAGGGATGAAGAAGTGAGACACTAAGGCAACTTATCACCATGTCTGATTAGAAAAGGCTAATTATCTACCTCAGAACTAGAAAAGTCAAAAATGGTAACATTTACCACCTTAGGATGGCAACAATTTTGTTTGTCGGCTTTTTATTAACAAAAGCAATTTTTGACTCATTTTTAACAAGCAGGAAACAGTCTGGTCAGGCTGGAAAACAGTGGGCAAGGTTCCAAATTGGCTAACAGGGCTAAGTTTGCCTGGGCGACTGCTCCTTCCTTGCTCAATCCATCAGCTCTCTTCCTGCCATTCTTGAAGGGTCAGATCGATCAATCAATTGTAGACATATATGCATGTACATGTGTGTTTGTAGTCAATTTGTCTTTCATCTTTCTGCCTGTGTGGAACACTTGATTGTTAGAGCCAGGCTGAAACAAGAAGTAGAAATCCTTAGATCTGATAAGCTGCATCATCGTGAGTGGTCAGAGCGATATGCAACCCAATCATTTCAAAAGTTAGGTACTTTGGGGTACTTTTGTACCTTGTTACACCAGAACATACTGAAAGACTTCTAAGCAGAGTGTTGAGCATGAGAAGAAATTGAAATTCTCAATCTAGATCTTTTCAGTTAAAAGGTTAAAGAATTCCTGATCCCTGGAATTATCTCAGTTTCAGAACCTGTACTGTGTTTAGAAAGGGCATGGAGTTAGAGCCAAAGGCAGGAGAGATATAAGAGCTTTGTGAGATAGTGCAAAGCTTTACTTATAAGCATCTGCTAATTTTAAAGAGAATTTAGGCTGTTTTATAAATAATAGGCACAGATGCCATAAAAATTAAATGAAAGAATTTTTTTCACATCTTCATAAACATTAGCAGTTCAAGTATTTTCTTCTGTTGACATGTAAAAGTTTCTTAAGAACAAAGGGTCCTTTTCTGTGTCTGAAAGCATGTTTATTTTTTGGCTTATGGAAATGTTAATATATCTGGTGTTGAAAGCTCATGATTTGAAATAACTAAGGTAGAATAACTATAAAAATTAAGTTAAAGAAGGTCTTCTAGTGTGTGATAAAAATTGATGACTCAAACATTTTCTTATGCTGATATGTCTAAATGTATATATTATTTTGTATCTACATTGAATTATTAGAATATCTGACCAAGAAAATCTTGTGAGTTGAAATAATGGTGGCACATAAACAAGTTATAAGTAAGGTTTGGCTTAAAACATGAGTTTCTAGAGTTATAAAATTGGTTGCAAAACTTTTATCCTACTACTTTATTTGATCTCTATTGGAGCGATAGCACAATGGGTAGGGCGTTTGCCTTGCACACGGCTGACCCAGGTTTGATTCCTCTGCCCCTCTTGGAGAGCCTGGCAAGCTACCGAGAGTATCCCGCCCGCACAGCATAGCCTGGCAAGCTCCCTGTAGCGTATTCAATATACCCAAAACAGTAACAACAAATCTCACAATGGAGATGTTACTGGTGCCCACTCGAGCAAATTGATGAACAACGAGAGAACAGTGCTACAGTGGTACTTTATTTGATCTCTGAGATATTTGATAACTTAAGCTATAGCACAGGGATGAACAACGGGACAACAGTGCTACAGTGCAAATTTCTAGAGCTACTTAGGCAAGAGTTAATAATGGTGTAATCTCAGACTTCAGTCTGACAGTCTGAAGTCATAGCAGTATGTCTTGGTAAAAGTTTTAAAATATCAGACTTCCCTGCTGGAATTCCAGGCCAGCATCAGGACTTCTTACTGAAGAAAAAATTTAAAAAGTGAGCCACTTTTAAAATGCAAGCTGCTAGTATTTGCCTCTTTGGCTTTAATTACTTTTGAGTATGGATAAATGGGTGGAAAATGTGGGAAACGAAAGCAATCAGGTTCATTTTATATTATGTTGCTAACCTTCCCAGTACATGAAAATGTATGCTATTATTGTGATAACTTTGTTTCAGAAAAGCTTTATAAACCTAGTCTTTTTTTTTTTTGAATCACTGTGAGAGACCCGCACAGGGCTGTTCATGAGTAGGTTTCAGTCATACAGTATTCCAACACCCATCCCTCCATTAGTGTACATTCCCCAGGTTCCCACTGATCCCTTCCATCCCCCACTTCCTGACTGCCTCTATGGTGAGCACTTTTCTTATAATCTTTCAGTATAAATATTGCAAACCACAATGCCCAAAGCAGAGAGACAAAGAGAGACAGAAAGAGACAGAGAGAGAGAGAGAAAAGAAAGTTGTCAACGTAATCTTGAACTTAATAAAACTTTATTCAAAGTATGAAATCCTTACTGTTTCATGGTAATCTTTGTGAGTGTTTTAACCCTTTCATATATGTTTTCCTAGAAATAAGAGTTCTAAAGATAAAACTTTCAATATATGTTTGGTCAATTTCTAATACGAAGTGAACTTTTGCCAGAGTAATATGTTATAAGATCTTTAATTGTGGGCATGGTAAGTCTTTTGGACATCTATAGAACTAATTTAATGCTTTTGAAATAGAACAGCAGAGTCCAGTTCTGTCATGCTCTATGAGATAATGATGACAACTTGTGTCCAAATTTCTTGGGAGACTATGTTGTACTAAGTTCAATAAAATAAGAAGATTAAAAATTAGGAGATAAGGAGGTATGGTGCTGCCAGCAAGTCAATTTGTACCTGTGAGATGAGTGCATCAGCAGCCTGATGGCATCATCAGACTTACAGATACCCCCAAATTGCTGCTGTGCCTTTGGCCAGACCCCAAAAACTTGGGGCAAAGTTTACCAAGAATGTAAACAAAAGTTAGGTATGTGGGAGACACACCCACAAACCTCCTCTGGCTCAGCTATATGTCTCTGGTTTCTGATTGAACTGCCGAATGGCCATGATCCCAGAGACTCAGAAACGAATCTCGGAACCCAAAGGCTTTTGGCAAAAATGCGTCCTGTCCCTGCAGTAGGTTACTGACGCTGGGCCACTCCAGGTGGGAATAGGTTTCGTGCCTTAGCCTATTCCCCTTGGTGGCCCAGTGACCACCATCCTCCAGAGGCCACTGGACAGTCAGGCCTGTAGTGACGAG